GCTGTAGGCCAATAGGTGTACCCTATGGCTGTATACTTTAGAAGAAACAAAGGTTTAACGAGATGTAATTATCGACATAAGGAAGTTTTCCCCTCTTGGGTTTCTTCTTATATAGTAGCTTAGACTAGAGGAGGCATAGGCCTGTAGAGTACTACTCTACCTAGTTATACAATATTATTATTATTATTATAGGTTTATATATAATGGAGGGATAATACGGCGGTAAATTTCAGACTTCCTATCAGTCAGTTCAACTTCAATTCGACCGCCTCAAGAACTGGTCAGTCCAGTTCAGTTGAGGCCTCTTGCCAAGAACTGACGCTTCAGTTCAACTTCAATTTAAGATAGTATTGAACTGCAAATAATTGAACTGAACTGAAGTATATATATGCTTAGTATATTCGTATATTTAGATGGGTAGGCTATAGGTGACCTAGGGTGTTAGACATTAAGGCATACCGGGAAAATGATATTCCATGGATCCTGAGCCGAGCTTATACCGCCGAGTCTATACTAGAAACTTCCGCCGAGTATTAATTAGTTACTTAACGAATATAGACGTTTTAGACGACTTAGTACTCAAATACACCTAAGTATACGTCTAGGTGTACGAAAGGGTATACGAAAATTATCTATATAGCCTTAAATATGCTATATTTTGACTATATGAAGTACTTCAGTTCAACTTCAAATATAGGCACAGAATTGAACTGATTGTTTGATAGGAAGTCTGGCGGTAATAGATAAAAATATCATTTATACTACGGTTCGTGTGCGCGCGCGACATGTGTGCACCGTCTGCCAAGCTTTCTCATGTAACTATGGATAATCGGATATAGCCTAGTTCAAGTTTTGTAATGGTTGAAGGATGTACAGTAATTAACAAGTCATCAATGACTTGCCTAGTACCATAAAAGAGCGAGACACTTGGAGGCAGAATAGCTTGTACCAAGCACTCGAACTACCTAGTCGTCTCCTGACATCAATGTGCTGAATAGTCCGATGGTTTTTCAGTACATTCCGCAGAAAGGGAATCGAAGAATCAATGTAGACAGCTTTGATCGAGTTCGAGACACATCTTTGTACGTAAGATGTAGCGTGGTCCCAAGAGATAGGATCTGTGTCCTGGTAAATGCAGACTGCTTGACGAGCGAATCGGGATAGCGATAAAGTCTATTGCGTGTAATGGAGTGGCCAGGTCTAACTGTACTCGGAAATGTATATCCTCTTGACTTCATCGTCCATCCTCTACTAGTATTAGACTACGTCCGCAACTTTAGAAAGAACCTACGTGGTTTAGCAAGTCAAGGATGAACCACGTACCAAGAGTCGCGCTGAAAAAGTTACAGACGGATCCATCCATGAATCCGGATGGTCGTATGAATCCATCGCTCACATGCTCATCACTCGCACGGGAACACATTCTGAATGGACGGTCGCTACCTCAAGTGATATCATCATGACTTACTTATTGGAATTTTTGGCCACCAAACCGACCTAGTGCAATTGTGCCACCAACCAACAGACTTCGCCGTACCCGGCCACTTATAGGCTTAAGGGAGTACCCATGTGACGAGTACCGTAGATGTTTCTTCTGGATCTAATTTCATTCGGATGATCATAAGCCGTCGGTCTGTTATTGCGCCGCAGCCACAATCTTTGCACAGTGCAGGAACCTGGAACCTGGACGTCTGCCGCTCTCAAGACAATATCAAACTCCTTTCACAACGCGCTCGACATAACACCCAACAGCCTGCAAGAGTAGAAAGAATCATATTTGGGCCCAGTCTACAGAGACTGGTCTCAGATAATCAACAACTTCAAGACTAGCCGAAGTGCTACTTGTCTATAACTCTGTCTATCTGGATTATCAATGATAATTTCTTCTCCGTGCGGGTAAAATGCACGAAGACTGTCTTGTCCGCTTCGAACACCGCGCCGCTCCGACGTGTCCACTGCTCTACTTTGGCCACAGCCGTCCTCTGTAGAACGTCGGTGTTCTCCGCGGCAGATGGGCCCGTGATCCAGGTTGTGTAGCCGTCTACGAACGCTATTGCGCCTCTACTACGATCGATCTTCGATGAGATAGAAAGATAATAGTTAGGAGGGAGGAGACCCGCCTTGGCATACGGTAGGAGGCACAGCAGATACGGTCCTTAGCGTACCAACCAACATTGTCGAACAACATGTCAGTATAACAGCTTAATCCTGCACAATCTCCGCTGTCTTTCAATTAAATGACCTAACGCTACAGAGTCTATCATGGAAAGAATCACTATACACTCGATGCTCAACGATCAGAACGTACCAGTCGAGCATTGCGACCTGAATTGTCCAGCCATCAAGAATCCTGGCCGCACTGGTAAGAATCCATCCAGGCATCCGCGGAAAAAGAGAGTAAGTCAGACACAAGCTGCATTGCCTGATAGTTCTCAAAGCTTTGCAGTTCTATCCACGCACCAAGACTGGCTGTGCTACTTGTCGTAGGAGAAAGAAAAAGGTATGTCTAGCCCGAACTACAGTGCATCTTTCGCTAAGAGTGAATCAGTGTGACGAGGCTAAACCTTGCTGTACGCTTCAGGTTATGTTGGTCCCATATGCCCGGCTAACCTCCTAGGCGAGAATTGTCGACAATTGAATCTGGATTGTGAAGGATATGGTCAGTTCTCGCGCCATAGGAATCGAGCGCTCTTACCTCAAGCTACCACCGAAAGATCACAATCTCTGATACCCTATGGACTTTCGCCTCCGGATCTACCGCCTAGTCCACTATACCAGCCATCAGAGAAGACTAAGATGCTAAACGGTCAAAGTTATTCATTCTTTGCAATGCAGTTGGTCACTGATCACAGGCTGTGCAAGGAGCGACTGAAGCAATTCGACTACGCCAACTCTTGTCCGGAGCTTATCACAGAGCATTTCCGCTCCGTACTGTGCGCATCGGATATCCGTTACGGACCGGATCATCCAGAGTCAGTGCAAGGCACGATGGGGCACGGTGTCATCATTGAAGACCCGTTTTCGTGTGATTATGGATACAACATCCATATCGGCGACAACGTTATGATCGGTTCTAATTGTACCATACTTGATGCATGCAAGGTCTGTATCGGAAATGACACTGTCATCGGCCCGAATGTGACATTGGCTGGGTATCTTCTATCGGATTCTCCTCAGCGCCGGCGAGGGTTTCAGAGTAAGGCCCAAGGAGGAGAAATCAACATCCAGGAAAATTGCGCAATCGGAGCGAATGTCACAGTGTTGCCTGGAGTGACAATTGGTAGGGGTGCAATGATTCGGCCGGGGTCAATAATTGTCAAAGTAAGGTGCATTCGGCTTCTTAGTCTAAATCTAATGAAGATAGGATATACCGCCATGTATCCGATAGTGATCGAACGAGGGCTATCTGACTTTGAAGAGCTGTAGAAGCGGAGAGCGCAGAAACGGAGAACACGACAAACTGTGATGTTGCTGCATTGTCTTAGTCCTGTGTGTTTTGTACTTGTGATGAAGATTGTCCAAAGTCCAGTATCCACTTTGAGCGAGGAGATTCAACTGTATGCTTTAGCTTGGTCAGGCGCGGCTTCTGGGAGAAGCGAGCGCTAGTCGTATCTTAAAAAGGTTCTTAGAAGAGGGCCCGTGCGAAAACCGCTCTTCTGCTCTTCAAATCTATCGTGCCAAAACCGCAGCAGCTCGTCCAGCTTCCGATCAAAATACTCCTGAGCCTTCTGAGGACCATTCCCTTTGGTCCTCCATTCTGCGGTGCGAGATGTTCTTCAAACGCGGTTGTACGTAACTGGACAGACGTCAAGGGTTTGCGCGGCGCTCCTGTTTGCTTCGATGCCGCATGTAGTTGTTGTCACTGTACGGCTACTTGTTCACCGTGGTGTTGGTGAAGGGGTGCTTGACGCGTCGCGCGTGACAACATTTGACTTTGGCCGTACATTGACCTAACTATGTCACAGAACGTGGCTGTGCCGCCCTCGTAAGGCTGAACGTGCACGAGACGATGTCGAACAACGAAGTCGCCAGACTACCCTTCATAGAAAGATGGGTGTACTCGCTTGAACAAAGTGAGAATGCTTCTTATACATGACTTGCCCAAACAGAAGATGACCCAAAGTAAGGGGGTGATGCGCCATCATGTGCTCTCGGAAACATTTCATCATCTCTTTGCTGGTCATCCCACTCGTGTGTCTACCACTTTCTCTGTGAATGTAGTGGCTCATATAGGGGCTATTTTCACGACTTTATCCTACTCCATCCTCCAATCAATGCTTAAGGACGGACATGAGTACCGAGCTGCCTAGCACTGACTAGTGGGACACAGTTCGCCGGAGTTATGAAACCAAACGAATGCGTCTCGCAGCCATGGAATGTATGCTCATTCAAGAGTCTATAACCCGCTGGTCTCCTTCAAAGACTATCGTAGATAACGAGAACTGTCATGGGAATCGACACTGGGTTCCATATAGCCCTACCGCTATCCAGAGAACCGGCCGACGCTTTTGAATGTAACCAATTCATTAATTACATTAAAAGAGGACTATAAGGATGATAGGTGCCGCACTATATTAACTATTTCTGTCAATCGATACTAATATCTCGTTTCTGTGTGCTCTCTAATCTCGCGGCCTTTCTATAACGCTTCCGCAAAAATGAATAAGAGTAGAGTCAAAAATGCATGCATTAGATGCTAGTAATAACTTGCCATGAGATACAGAGTTGCAAGCCGGATTGACTGCATCTTATCGCACCCTCCAATGTGTTTAGCCCATTGGAGATGTGCTACCCGGTTCGACCTCACTTGGTCGAAAGAATTCACATAAGCCCTCGTCCAAGGATGATCATTCTTGGCAGCTCGTACAGCTGGTAGTACATCAATAGATGGCACAGCTCGCTGCCCGGTTGGTCGCCAACTCTCTGTCCAAGTGTTGTTTGCGACTGGCTGGCAGAACTACTAATATTGGTAGAGCTCAGCCCGTACGTGCTTCCCACCGATTGTCGGCGAGTACATATTTCCCGTCAGTGGTGTACGTTTTGCCGTCGGAAGACGTATGTGTAGTCTGTGCATGCGACATGCTGCAAGTTCGAGTAAGCTACAAGAGAATAAGTGAAGACGAATGGTTAGGAAGATGCATACCGGCCTTACCAGGTAGCGAGTATGTGCAGAGGAATTCCTCTGCCGACGGGAGGGGAAACGAGGGACTTTAAGGATGTCTGCATAGCCCGTGCATTGGCCTAAATTAATGCACGTGAGCGCGAATCGAGGTCTTGCAAGAGCGACTGGTGGAGAATGATGCACAGGCGTACAGCAACCGCATGCAATACTTGTCGAACAGTCCAATCACAGACTGTAGGAAATGGACTTTGAGAGGGGCGTAGCAGAGCTTGAAGTGGCACAGCGGGCGTGAATGTGGTGAACGGGGGGCACGATTACCAGGCTCCGACCCCCTACCATCGGCGAGCCTAATTAATGTCTGCCGCGCTATTAAGCTGGCGAAAGGCACGTAGGCACTCGTCTATACGCGGTAGGTGCAAAAAGTCCTGGGCTACCCCAGGCGAAGTTTTAGAATAAGATTGATTGCTACTACTAAGAGCATAGGAGGAAGTGCTCAGCAGAATCCTGGCTTAGCAGAATCATGGCTTAGCAGAATCACGGCTCAGCAGAATCATGGCTCAGCAAAATCATGGCTCAGCAAAAGCTCCTCCTCTGACAGACAGCCTTCTAGTAGATAGCGACATTAAGCTGGAATGCAAGTACAAGCCCTGATCGTTAATGTAGCATCACTACCATATTGCGCCGTACATGTGCATGTGTATGTAAAATTATCAAAACGGACGACTCGGTTAACCTATAAAGCCTTCAGTCTACTGTACAGTACCCGCAGGTGTTATGTATACAACACCTGCTAAGCACTCATTACTTTCGACATGCCCGGACTTGCTTGGACAGAGGAAGAAAATGCTTGGCTAATCACAATGTTAGAGAAGAATCCGAGCATAAGTTGGGGGGCGCTTGTAAAGTTGTATAACGAAAAGTTCTCCAACCGCCCTCGCAGCGAAGACGCGATTAGGAACAGATACTTCCGTCTTACGAAGAAATGAGACAGCTGCCGCCTTGCCTGCAGAAGCAGTAAGTAAGCTATCGCCACATCTCTAGGTTATGAGTCTACATTAACAAAGCTAGAGACATATGCTGTCAATCAATCTCCGCTACAAGCTTTAGTTAGATGCACCTTAAGGCCATGGAACAATGTATGGGATGTAGACCTAAGGCAGCCTACTAGCTTGTTAGATACATTGTAAAGAGACTACGTCGGGATATAGGTGGCATTCTTCTCGATTTACGATCAAACAGACGGCTGAGGACTTCCTTTGCACGACCGGTAACGGAATCTCAGGTGTCGGACGATCTGTCTATCTCGCACACGCACAGAAGTCTTTCAATGCTATATCGAGAGTACTAACTATAAGTCGTTGCACCTGAGTATAGCTTAAGTGAGCCCAAAGACCTGCCACAAATTGATCATATGCCCGCCAGGTACAGTGAGAAGGACGAATGGGGGCTGTGCTTCACCGCAGTTGACTCCAGTTCTTGCGAGAAGATAGTAGCCCGTATTGAACTGGTACTTGGCTGTTGCTATCGTCAGTCAATCAGTAGACCGCGGAGCCTTAAGTTGTCGGAATCGCAAACCGGAAATCGCTCGATATGGAGAAGAAGCAGAGTATTCTGCATGGCTTGATGTGCCTGTAAACATAGGCAGGGGCATCCGTCCGTAACTTTTTCAGCGCAACTCTTGGCACGTGTCGTGCGCGTAACGAGCACATTTTCTCTAATAACTCCATAATTAAGACTCTAGGAAGTTTCTTAATTATACCTATATATACTTCTATATAGTCTCTTACTTTCTATATTAAAAAATTAAGAAAAAAGACTACATTAATTAGTTCTTCTAAAAAGAAGCTTTATAGTAATATTTATGTAGACTTATAGACTAGAGTAAGGCAATTTTTCCTATATAATTTTTAAGCTCTACCCGTCCCACGCACTTCGGAGTTGTAACCTCCGATGCAGCAAGCTAATAACTACCCATCACTAACGCCATCTCAGAGAGTTTTCCCATCTTCCGTGGACGACCTGTAGCGAATTCTGTGATCCTTCGAGCGCCTCCGGAATGGACTCCATGTAAATGTTTCAAACGGTAGGGGCGTCAGTAAAGGTGCCTGGGCCCTTGTCAGACATGTTTAGTCCCGCTTGTAGTTATTTGCGCCTAGAATGCGGACCATTCAGCATCATTCACACCTACCAAAGCGACTGCGCTACACGAGCATCATGTCTCAAGCAAGCTCGCAAGATGGTAACAAGCATCTGATCAGCCACTAGGGCACCCTTTGCTTCTCTGACACGCTCTACTAGATTCTCCCATGACACTCCAGTGTTTCGGTGGTTCCTGTGCATGTTTGCCGTGTCAACCCCAGACCTTAACACCGGCACCAGGGCTATCAGGTCTGCGTAGAGTTCTGTATTGCTCAGTCACGGGAAGAACAGTCCCCGTGTATCTTGAACGAGATGAGTGCGGAAATGTGCTAGATAATTGTCGTGTCGCAAGAAAGTCTGACGACATGGTCCTTTGAGACTACATTCAGCCCTGTGCAAAGTCGCACCAGACCGGTAGTGCGACCTGCCAACAGCAATCCCCAGCCCCTCCGTACATATGTCGTCTATAACATGTGGCAATGAACAAATAGAACGGCCATAAAGATTAAGCTGCGAGTTTCGGTAGGTGACAGTATACGGACTGGAGGGTTGATTCTCGGGCCACTGGCAAGATGAGCTGCCAAACTGCTCACCTAGCTACATATAGTGGAGCCGTCTAGATACTGAGCCGTTAAACCCACGATACTGAGCCATGAGATCCACCAAGTCATCGCCGCTCTCCAATCAGCTAAGCCATGCTGAGCCATAAATTCTGCTAAGCTATCTCGTAATCTCTATCTGAGCCAAACCATGTCAGTCTATAGTGTCGCCTGGTTCAACCATGGCTCTGCCAAAGCCTCTTGACTCATTGCAGATACTGGGACAGTATATATGTGCTATCAGGCTCGCAGGAGCCTCTCCTCGAGTCTAACACGAGTGCAGACCAAGCCCAGTCAGTAACGATACTACGACACACAAATTATGCTACTAAACCATGACAGACTTATGTAGGTCAATGGAGACAAACACGCAACCATGCTCGCAACAGAGCGCTTCATGCTGGAGTCAAGACCACTGGTATGGATATCATATATCTCCAGCGTATGGCTCATGCGAGACTGTCCATTCGACCGCGCCGCAGTCACTCGAAAGAATAGAGTACTCCGCTGCCAACCCTTCAAAGCCTCAATATTCTTCATATTCAGCCTGTGGGAGACACGACAAAGGAGAGTAAGTCTTGTAAGATTGCGAAAGCTTGCAAGAACTTTCCGCACAACGCCTTGCTCAACAATTCACGCAGCGGCTGCTTTACTGAGCCGCAGACTTTACTGAGCCGTCACACCTTACTGCGCCGTCACACTTTACTGAGCCACTACACTATTCAGCGCTAATATCGTTACGATTGAAACTGTAGTCGCCAGCTGATCATGAAACCACATCGGCTTCCACCCGCTCTTTCCAGCGAAGAATTTCAGAAGTTCCCACGTTGGAAGGGCGCAAGCCCAACGCTGTGTGCCATTCACCTGTTAAACTGCAGTGATGAGGGCGCACAGGAAGCTCTCTGCATGTCCACGTACTGTGGTAGGAGGCTCAGTAGGTTCTTGGCAGCGTCAATTCCGTAGCGGCTTAGTCGTTGGTAGCCAACCCAGCGGGGAGGAGATGGATAGCATACTTTAATTTATAAGCTTCACCCCTCACGCATGTTAAGAATAAATGAAATAGACACTGTAGCATCTAGCATCAACTACACTTGTGCGAAGACACAAAAGCTCAGTAACACTCCCACAATGTACACAAGTCAGATTAGTACCAGTCGTATGTCTTGGTCGAGCTCTGAAGCATGCAGTGAGGAGGCCCCGTAAGTCGTTCGGTATCTTCTGTTGATTTACACTTACAACCCACAGATCTAGTACCACTTGTGAACCATACAATAGAGCCTGGAACAAACCGGTGGAGATACTAAGCTATGATGGCAGAGCGTATCGAGTTCGATTCAAGCAGAGAATACTGCGTGGCAAGGAGCTTAGTCGCGTGTTGCCCTTGATTCACCAGCTGCGTCTTAGAGATGGCTTCCCATGGAAGAAGCCAAGTCATATAGAGATACAGAATAACCTATTGTATCGGGTTCGCTGGAAAGGCCAAAGGATGGACCCAATCAATCTGCACACGCAGGGGTACTTGTTGCACGACTTCTGGAGCGCCAAGCACGTCGAGGATCAGTTCCGTTATCAGCAAGGCATACTACGCTCCAACACGGCAGAACAGTCCCTTGAGACAGCACGATCGGAATGGCAAGTCGGATGCATCTGACTGCTCTACATTGAGGTCGAATGTTCGTGAGCAGTCGCTAAGTCGAGAGGCAGATGACACCTTCATGTAAGAGATAGAGATAGTCATGCCAAGGAGGGAAGAGCTTCATTAATTTCCTATGAAGGTTCTTATCAGAAACTGTGTTACAGCAAGTCAAAACACGTCATTTCTATTCCATGTGACTCTCAATAATGTCTGGGGGAATCAGGGCACAATGATGCAAAGCTAGCCCACCTGCGTTATCCAAGTTACGATGGTGACCACAGGAGGCGGCGTAAAATCTGCTGTTAGGGTAACCACCAAGTCTACGACTCCACCATCTGGTACTCTTTCGACGGTGAAGGCTGTAGTGGCTCGCTGCCGGCGTTTACGTTTACTACAACGCCTGTTGGTTGACCAACCTGACTGATACTAGAAGGATTTGTCGACGGCGTCAGTTGCTTAGGGCCGAGATATGGTCCGGTAGACTTGCATTCTCTTCTCCAAAACTCCACGCCATCGCGCCACCTAAGCATTTGTCTTTTACTATGCGATCTATCTTTAGCTGCACATACTTTATTGGGTCCCACGTCCAGAATAGAGCATCAGTCGGATCAAAGTAGGTGTATCCACCAGCATGACTGTCGTCTATAGGATCTGCGAGCGCGGCTTTCCAGGATTTCCAGAGGTCAGGACCTTGGCAGCTGTCGGAGCCGCTATATGGAGGATTGCATCTACCATAGCCACAGTGCTCGGGAGTGTCGCCACTAGAACTTGAGTTAGTTCTCTAGAGCATTAACAACGGCGTCGTACACACCACCAGCCCTTGCTGGAGCAGCAGAAGCCCGGACTACATTTGGCTCCAGTACCGGGGCCGCAGCGACCACCATCCGGCACAGAGAAGCTCTGAGGGACGTCTAACGTGTTCTTCATTTCGAAAGTCATGGAGCCGGATTGAAAGGTATCTGCTCCTTGGCTGTCTTCCAGGGCAAACGTATCGCAGCCAAGCCCACCCAGCTTAGTACAGATGCCGCTTACATGAGCCCACTTAGCATACAGTGCAAACCCGAGATTGATCTTGCCCGGAAGTAGTCCCTTTTCGAGATATGCGTTCGCCGTAGCCAAGGTGCCTTCCACCGAGGAGTGATGGGCGGTGATGTTATCTCGTCGATTGTAAAGGTCATATGTCATTAGATTGACGAAGTCCACGGACTCAAATATCGTTTTAGCCTTGGCACTGTCTTCGAAGACGAGCATGTCACTAGGCCTTCCTGGAACTGCAATGGACAAATGTTTTCCGTCTGGTGATAGATCGGCGTGAATAGCCTGAAGAAGCTTGGCGTAACCGTCCGTTTCGCCGAGCAAACGGTCTGCGGCCTGTGGGTTACTCTTGTAGTCAACAGCATTCCCGCCTGGATATTCCCAGTCGATATCTACGGCGATCAATAGCATTCCAACAGGAAGTTTGAAGGGACTTGCTTACCAACTCCATCGAATTGATGGTTTTCGAATATGGGGAAATCGCCATAGAGAACTCTGTGGAGATTATGTACGAACAAAGACAGATTAGCGTCGCTCTCTATGGTCTTCCGCCAACCGATTTCGGGGTCGTCGTTCCATCCGCCAACCGCAAGACTGACTTTGACATCGGGGCAATTCACTTTCAGGCTTTTCAATGCATTGACATGCCATTTATGGCCAGGTTCATTAGCCGTCCACAGTGGATCGAATGTTTCGTTGTTAAGGTGGTGGCTTAGCATGAACGACAATATAACATGCGTGACTCCTTTGGAACATATCAAATCCATCGAGGCATTCGGATGCCATCTGATGCCCGTTTAGTGTTGTGCGCCGCCTGAAGTTGCTTCAGGATATGCTTACTGATCATAGTACATGACCAATCGAGGTGACTGAGCATCTTGCTGGGATACGCTTCTCGCTATGCCTAAGAAGGTCAGAATCACTGGGAGAGCAAACTTTAGCATGACTTTTGAAGATGCTGCAGTGTTACACTTAAGAGAAGGGGTTTAGATACGGTGCACGAAGCTCAGTAGAAGAGGGCAACGAGGTTAAGGCGTGCATTTAGACTTCGCGGTGCAGGCATTCTGAATGTGTATGACACCCCATCATCTCTTGGGGCGCAATGTGTGAAGCGTCTTGAGCGCCCTTCCACATTACGGCTATTTTTGGTACCAGGAATAAAAATGGGCCGGACCACAACCAGTGCAGTGTATTTATGTCTGCTGTCGTTGTGAGACACGAACGATCCTGCGAACAACAATGTCGCCCTGAAAGATGCTGCGGAAAGCAACAGACATCGAGCGCATCATCTCTGAGATAGACTGCTGTCGAAAACAGATGCATACCACGACCCTAGAGAGATGTTTCTGCCTGCCTTTAGTAGATATCTACACTCTGATTATGCTTAAGTATTGGGCGGCTCTACCATCGATAGTGCGCGCTATACTGGTGTGTGAAGGCCAGAGATGGGCATATACAAACCGAATCTATGCAATCTCAATCTGGGCCAAAATTTTGATAGAGAATACAAGCTCAATCCACGCCTCAAAATGAGTGCCAAGACGGTACAATCTCAATACGATTGGTCAGATTGCTTGTGTTAGATTGAATATGTGGGTCCGTAGAGGGCGGATATTACTTTGCCGACGGGTATGTAACGTGAGGCTCTATATATAGCATATTAGTCGATTTTGGTAAGGTTCTGGTGGTGAGTTTCTCATATATACCCGACTCTACGACGTAAGGGAGGTTGTTTGCTCGGAGACGTGTAATATGAGACACTGTATATGCCCATATTAGTCGAATGTAGACAGGTTCTAGGGTTGAGTGTGGTCGGCGACGTGAAATCTCTTCGAATCGGCCAGGGTTACGAATCGAGTAGATATGCCATATATACGCTATGTCTGCTAATGTCAGATATTCCCAATATATATCCATTAGCACGCGTTTTTACCTGTCTGAAGAACCTTGTTCATCACGTCGACATGCGTGTTCTACCTTCCTCTGCCGAATCGCTCAATATACTGCCAGCAGTGCCTATTTCTGGTGATACTCTGATAATGGCACGTGCTCGTCGAGATGACTTGAGTAATACTAGCTTTGACTTCGAGTCTCCCGAAGGCTATGAGACTACTGACTGGACGCGTCTCCACGGATATCGTATCCCTACTGAGCGTCTCTCAACTCGTGGTGAACCGAGCTGGCTATGGCGTCGTGGGTATAGGGTTGAGCGCGAGAAAACAGGTCGAATCTACTGGGTTTATTACCGTTGTCACGATCTAAAAAAGCTTCATCTTATGGGGATATACCACGCCACTCAACAGACTTCAGCTGCTGGCCGTCATATGGACCAAGTCCATGGTATTACCCGTGATGGTGTAGTAGATAATACTCCTTCTGTGCTTCAGCGACTCATCAATGGGCCTGGCGTCAGTTAGGCTACGGCAAACGCCATTATCGAAGCTTACCGCGCAGATACATTCGCGAGAAAGGTACTGAAGTGGATTGTATGTAGTAACCACGCCTTGAAGGAGATAGAGAGTCCTTTCTTCATCGAGATGATTCGAGCTGCGAATCCACACGCAGCAGAACAGCTTGTTGGACGAGTTACACTACGTCGCGATATTATTAGTACACATCAAGCCAATATTGGTGTACTTACTGAGGCCATGGCTGGAGCATTATCAAGGATACATGTCTCCTTTGATGGCTGGACGACACGTCAACAGAGATTCGCACTTATGGGGTATTGTGTCCATTTTATAGGCGCAGAAGGTGAGTAATAAGTCCAGTATGAAGTTGAGTCTATGAGGAATAAGATGCTGACAAATATACTATCCATATTAGGCGAATTTCACGACTTCCTCCTCGATATACCTGAGATAATAGGTGCCCATACAGGCTCAAATTACGCCGAACTCACTCTCTCTACGCTTAATCAATACAACCTCAATTCAAAGAACCTCGGCTACTTCGTCCTCGATTCTGCGTCAAACAACGATACCGCTATAGAGTATATCTGTGAGGAACTCCAGATAGGAGCTAGTAATGAGGACGATTGGCACCCAAATCTTCGTATTCGGTGCTTCTGTCACATGATCAACCTCGTCGCAAAGAGTATCCTATTTGGGAAGGATAAGCTCGCCTATGAAGACGCACCAGATTCCAAAGATGAGGATATATTGATTGATGAATGGCGTAAATTTGGGCCTCTTCGTACTCTTTTCGCCATCATCTGGCATATTAATACACCAGAACGCCTACGACGATTCCACGACATTCAGAGAGACATTAATAATAGTCTACCTACGCCGGGTACGTCACTCTACAGTATTTATTCTATTACTTACGTTTACTCTTATAGACCCTCATTTTAAGCCACTAGATGTCATCACACCTGTGAAGACACGCTGGAATAGCCACATATCCGCGATCGAACGAGCAATCAAGCTTAGAGAAGCCCTCAACCAGTTTTCTCAATACTATATCAACCTAGTCATACAACGTGAGAGAGTTAAGGAGGTAGAAATGAAGCGTAAGGAAGCTATACGCGTAAAGGCAGCTCGTGAGAGAAACAGACACACCCAATCAGGCTACCAGCCTGGTACTTCAAGAAAGCGTTCAAGGCGCTATCTTGAGACTCAGGCTGATGATGATGAGTCTATTGAGTCTCCTATAGCTCCACCAATGAAGACTCCTAAGAGACTCGACAGTCGGAGCCAGGAGCCTCTATTTGTCCAGGTTGGCGGCCTTACTCACTATGATTGGGACGTGATAGAACAATACCTCGAGTTACTACTACCACTCCGAGTTGCTACTCGTCGCCTAGAGGGACGTAGGCCTAATAGTGAGTTCGGGGCTATCTGGAAAGTCATCCCTATTGTTACCTACCTCATGGAGCACTTCGAGAGACTCAAAATACGGTATATGGTCCCTGATTTGATGAATGAAGATGAGATGACGACGGAGACACTTGCTGACGGAGACCACATGATTATTGCTATCAACAACGGCTGGCTGAAGATGAATAAATACTTCATAGCACTCAATGAGTCTCCCGCGTATTACGCTGCTACAAACCTTCATCCAAACCTCAAGACCTTCTGTCGAAGCGCGTGGGATGACTTCGAAGATGCTGAGTCTATCTTCAAGCAATATTGGCAGTGGCATAAGAGACAGTCAACTGGCGAGGAGCCTATACAGACATTGGTATCACCTACAACACCGTGAGTGGTACATCACGACCCTATCACCACGGATATTGATAGCTTCATCTCTCAGCACTCCGAGTTACCCGAGGAAGAACAGTATGAGGTTATTGAGGATGAGCTTATCCGCTGGCGACGTGAGCCTCCTGTCGGCCATGATAGTAAATGGGCCAACGCGCCAATAGCCTTCTGGATAGCTCGTCAAGATGACTACCCTCAGCTTAGTC